AGTTTGGATGTTAACTACATAAACATCATAGAGTTAAACATCTACAATTGGCCTCATATCCAAATTGTCAGTATAAAGTAAAATCATGCTTTATTTTGCATGGCTAATTGTCAAACTCAATAAAAATCAACCAGTTCCCATTGTTCTAAGGAATTATTATTTCCATGATACTGTGTGAAATATTGATACAATTAAGCTGTTGTTAAAACTAAAATGCAACAATAGATGACCATGCTCATATACAATGAGCTTAGTTAGCACCAATGTTTCAGCTATCCTTCATTTCCTACCCATGAGCTCCAAAAGCATGGATATTAAATAAATATGTTCTAAATTTTCAATCCCCCGAATGATATTCGAAACAATTTAACTACTGAGGGCAAATTACCCCTTTATTTGTACGGACTTTGATGGGCACCAATGATTGGAAATGTTTGTGAACTACATTTTCAGCTCTTTCAAATACCACTTCCCAATTTGGTATTTTGTTACATTCAATAAAATACTATTAGAAAAGCAGGCAAGTCATTTTTAAAAAAAATCCTATAGAACGAGGAAAAATACATTGCTAGAAGTGCAACTCCAAGGTTGCAGCTTTGTGCTAAATTGTTTCTGTCTCATCAAAACAAACAGGAATGTGCCTTGCACTAGGAATTGAGTATTGATCTAACAACAAAGTCAGTTGGATCTAGTTTGGATCAAACTTTCTAACTGGTGTTTGTGGGAGTGTTTTCAAGTGTTAAGGGGAGATTATGTCAGATCTCAGTGAGCACTGCATCTAATTGAAGAGCAAACCAAAAATGTGAGAAGTTATTAGTAACTATGAAAGAGAGCAGTTTTTTGCTACAGTAGGAAGTGAAGTTGGGGAGGGGATAACAGAATAATGCACCTAGAGACACAATTAACAGATTATATATTTCCTATGGTGCTGAAATGTGGAACAAACTGAAAATCAACAGAATATAGTGATAGTACAATATTGCCTTCTTCTGTTTAAATAGCACTTCTGCACAAAAAACACATTTGTCTACAAAAGATAAGGCAGTGTCATCTTGCATCAAGCACCAGCAGATCAATTTCAAAATTCTACAAAATGTTTTCAAAAGACCACAAATAATAATAATCCTTGCATTTAATATAGCGCCTTATCACATCTTCGAAACGTCTCAAAGCTCTTCACAAAATATAATGTATAGTGAATTGACTATATTTTAGGGCAAAAAACACAGTGTCCCATAAACAATCGTGCATTGAGTGACTTTTTTGAAGGAATTATTACTCTTGGAAAAGTGATCAGCAAATCAATTAACAACCAGGTTCCTACTTACTGCTAGGTAAACAGAGGCATGTGGAGTAAGGAAACTTGCCCAACGCTTCGCCCTGCCGGGAATCGAACCCTGGTTCCCTCGCTTACAAGGCAGGTACTCTAACCATTGAGCTACAGTACTCCACAAATGCATATATCTCACAAATGATCAATGGTCACAACAGACCTTTAAAATTAAAAGCTGATACAATATTTGCAGATATTGTTTCATCTTTGATTCTACAGACTCCAAAAATTCATCTTCAATTTTATGGATCTTTTTGTGAATGAAATAATGGTCTCTCAGATGACCTAGATTCTTAAGTAAGAATGATCCAGACCAATTCTCCTGCTCTGGCTGTACTATTAGGCCTAACGGAAAAAGTAGACTTTGGCCCCTATTGGAGCATCTTGTATTTAGGATGGTAGTCATGCAGAAAGAAGCAAGACCAGATTAGATTGCCCCTTTTCAAATTGTCCAGAGTGAAAACAATCTCCTGGAACAGTGTATTCCTGGTTTCCAAGGTCAACTGGCAATTTTTAATGAGATCTGGAGACCCTTGTTGAGAACATGATTATTGCCTTGCTTTGCTGCTTTACCTTTCATTGCAATACCAGCTGGAGCAGATGGAGCTTGGTAGTTGGGCTCTCTTACTTTTTGCAATTTGCAACGGTTAATATAGATTTTGTACAAAATCAAGCAATAATATTGTTCTATCAGTGGAATATTTCTCTCTCATTAAAACTGCAATGATTGATACCTATCATAATCCACGACTGTTGTGGGACACTGCTGTGTACAATTGGCTGCCGCATTTTACTCACAAAATACACTTTACACTGTATCCTGTGAAGTGCTTTGAGATGTCTCAACGACATGCTAAGATGCTATATCAAAGGATAATTTTATTACATTAAATGTAAGAATAATAGTAATCCTTGCATTTGATATAGTGCCTTATCACATCGTTGCAATGTCTCAAAGCACCTCACACGATTTACTGTACAGTAATCATGCAGAACCTGTTTATTTTGTGGGCGAAAATCAATTATTATTGAACATAATTATCAAATTATCAAACATTTATCAAACATGATGCAAGGATATAAGAAAAACATTTACACGTGATAAAAATAACCTTTTGCTTCCTTCAACGAGAAAACATTTACATAAAATTGTTCATGAAGATAGCACTCCTAACATTCTTTGTTCCTATACAAGTCCAAGAAAATGAACTACTATAATAATAGTTCTGTACTATGCTAAAACAATTTTACATGCAACTTCAGTTTTTGATGTACTGATGAACCAAGGTAACCAACAGCTGTAATGAGTTACCACTATTACCAGGAAGGGTAACAGTGGCAAGGACGCTGAGCCCTTTGCGAAGACATCTCAATGCTATAATGCTTGCTGTAATCGTTGGTATTTTAGAATGAGATGAAATGGGCTGATGGGTGTTCTTCATTTAAACATCTTGTCATCAACAAAGATGATGCAACTTTTCACTAGTTACTATGATTTCTGATATTTACTGTACTTCATTTTAATGCTAAATTAATAATTTGCCCCAATCCATGTTGATTCGGGTTAAGCTACTTCTTCCCAAATTCCTTGTGCTCATAATCTGAAAAAACATCTACACATCAGATGATCTCCTTTGTACTAAATTATCAATATGTGTTATATTTTGCGATAACCAATGTCAGCTATACACCTTAAATTCACGCCATTTGTTTCCAATGAGTAATTTCCTCTCTTGAAATCAATAGCTCAACCAGGAAGGAATTTTAACGTTTCTTAAAAACATATGAATTAATTCATGGGACACTGCCAATTGGCAACCACATTCGCCTACAAATATAGTCACTATACAGTGATCATGTGAAGCACTTTGAAAAGGACAATACAATAAAGCTGTATATCAATGCAAATATTGTTATTCATCGTTATTTCAGCCTTGGGACAGCCTCCTGACGTGAAAGGCGCAAAACAAATCTAATTTGCTGTTGTTTGTTGTTATTCTCAAGGATATCTGCACAGAGAAAACCAGCACGATATGGGTTCAATTAGAATTCATCATTCAACTTTTCTGTTACAATAATATAGCATTGACAGTTCACATTATTTTAGTTGTTCAACGTGTTAACCAAACTAGCAATTGCAATCTAAAGTAAATACAATTGTGTCCTTTCAACATCAAATCTATTAATTGGATGTCTGACAAAAACATACCTCTTATCAAGGTAAGTGTATTGAAGCAGCTTGGCCTTTCGCGATGTAGAAGTGCTGATTTCGGCATCAGGAGTCATCTTTGGTCAATTGTCTTGAGAGTTCTTTTGAGTACGTCTGGCTGAACCTTACATGTGCATTGACAGTTAAAAGTTGCTGTCAATCAGACAGTACACCATCCATTGAGGTTTTTGCTCTTACAGTCAACTTCTATTATCTAGGTAGGCGCTCTTATTGACTTGTCATCTTCACATAAACAGTCTCCTTTAATAAAAAAAATCCAGTCACACCACTTTTTAGCATATCCTGTGAAGAGCCTTGCAATGTCTCAACGATGTGATAAGGCAATATATCAAATCCAAGTATTTGATTACTTAAATATCTTCATCTATTTGTACAACACCTTCAGCAATTTAACAATTTTAAAAAGGTATTATTTATGTTTTTTTAAGGATAGAATAAAATCATGCAAAGGCATCCACCCTTTCATTGTAGTTGTGAATCGAGCTTAATGAAAATTCAATTTAACATCTAATAACTGCATTAGTAAAGAGATAATGCTGCCCATTTGATTACAAGGAACACATTTCCATTACAAATCGAGACCACTGTTCATACTGGCATTTGGCACCAGAATTAACATTATATGTGGTAACATCTGTCATAATAATAATCATTACATTTGATATAGAGCCTTATCATGTGGTCTCTAAGCACTTCATAGAATATACTGTAAAGTGAATTGACTGTATATTTTGTGGGTAAAACGCGGCAGCTAATAGCATAGTGCTTCACAAACAATTGTGGATTGAACGACCAAATTATTATTAATAATTTCTTTTTGAAGGGATTATTACCCCCGGAAAGCGATCTGCCAATCAACCAACAACCAGGTTCCTACTTACTGCTAGATAAACAGAGCGTCTGTAAGGAAAATTGCCTATGGTTTCATCCTTCCGGGGAATCAAACCCAGGTCCTCTTGTTGTAAGGGTGGGTGCTCTACCCAATATGCTACAGGACTCCTACTACAGGACTGTCATACTGTGATAGTAACAGCTAACCTTGGAATTCCTACTGCTACTGTTTCCAGTTAATATTAGTTTAGCAGTAAAGGTTTGTTTCATATTACCAAGTTAAGGTTAGGTTAGATAATTGGGGAAAGACAAAGACAAGATCTAACACTATCCATCTAAGCAGTTAGTCAAAGAACAAGTCTTCAATCTCCTCTGTGCGATTCAATATTATGTACATCACTATCAAGGAATTTCTCCAAATTTTCTCTGAAATATTAGAATGTTCATACTGTAGTTCTTCTGCGTTAATGTTATGCATTGATGTGCCCATGTGACAACTGCAATACTTTTTTGTTTAACTTAGTGAAAAATAATATATAAACCTATATTTGCGGTGTTAAAATTTATATTAAGATGACACAATGAATAATAAGAAAAACACAAGAGTGCAGTATTTAAACAATGTATTTACATTTTTTGCTCAAAAAACAAGACACAAGTAAGATCCACTAAAGCATATTGAGAATCCAAAGCAAAAAAAAGTACTTGATTTAACAAAGTCAATTGATTTAACAATAGGAGAAAGTAAAACTTTCAATTTTATAAGTGATATTTTAACACAACTTGTACATTTTCACATTGTTCACCTAAACCTGTCCCTTCTTACATAAGAAAACATTTAATGTTGAAACAAAGAATTTGGTATAATTTTTAATGCAAATCCAATTTCATAATTATGTTGGTCTAATTATATTTGTTGCTATTGTCTACCTAATGAATTGTGGTACAATTATACCAATGCCATGAGAAAACGATTGGTTGATGACTACCAATTACAGTGCAACCTTGGGTAGATATAAAACATTCTCATATGTGTGAAAATCGTTCTACCTATAACAGAAACCAAACTTATTTCATGTGTAGGGAAAATGCTGACAATTTTAATTGTAAAAAAGTAAAAATTTAACACAACTTTCTCTAAGACTAACATTAGGCAAAATAATGTCTAAAGTTCATGCAGAGATCATCCAAGGCTAGTGCATACACTCTAGTACTTAATCAGTGCTGGAACAGAAGAATGTCCATAAGCTGCTGTTAAAGATGAATTCATGGTGCTTAGAATATCAAAGTTTCTTCCACTCCATGTCATCTGGGGGACTCACAGCGATTTGTTTGTTCCCCACTTCAGACCAATTTGTGCTCAGAACAGTGCCTCCGGATTCAGTCTACAGATACACAAAAAAAAATTAGCTTCCTGCCTGAAAGAGTAGTGATACAGTAAACTTCAGATAACTCGACCCTGGCTTATCTCATCCCTGAGAGGATGAATGGCTGATTTGTCACATTGGATAATTCGTCACTGGGCCCTTTTCCCTTGAAGTGATGAGTTGACTGGAATTTATTGTATTTATGATGAGGATGACTGTTTTACATTTTTTTTAGTCAGACAGGACTTTGACACTTGCTTAGGAGTATCCAAACCAGAGTTCCACATATCATTGCCATCTACGCAATGATGTGCTCTGCCCAATGGGACACCTGTCTTAAGTAATTTCAGAAACTATTAGGCGCAGGTTAGTAAGAACCAACCGACCTGGGTTTGATTCCCCGCAGGGCGAAACGTTAGGCACGTTGGAGTGTTTGACTTGCTATCCTTCTATATTGGTTAACACTTTCTGTATTGGTTAACAAGGAAGAAAGAAATTTTCAATATCATGAGGATTGAAGTCCACATGCAGGAACTACAATTTTGTCAGAATTCCAATAGGAATCTGTGCGAGAACCTGAATTGCAATACATAAAAGTGGAATTACGTACAAATGACTTGTTCATGGCACGTTTCACTTCATCAGAACCATCTGCGTAAATCTTCTGAAAGAGCTGGTTTAGAGCAGCATCTCCCTCAAGTTTTTCATTCTTCTCCTCCTCCTTAATTTCCATTACCAGCTGATCCCAATTTTTTGTGTGGTGAGATGATGATGGATACTGATGCATCTGATCTAAAACGGAGGTAAAGGGCATATTTTACAACAATTCTAATCACCGTCTTGAAAGGCTCTATGTATAATTAAGGTCAACAAATGAATTTAAAACAAAATAAAATGGCCAAAAATTAAGCATTGAATAAAGCATTAAATAAAATATTGAATAAATATTTTTAATAATAAATAAATAAATATTGAATAAGCATTGAATAAAACATTAAAGTGTGTATTATCATCAGTACTTGCAGATTCCAAATAATTCATTTTCCTGGTTATCTTGTTGGATATTTTGGAAATTCTAATACAGTATTTTTCAACTGTATCAATATAGGATTTAGTATTGGAGATGTTTCTAAGCTCAACAGTGCAAGATAAATATAAGTGTTGAAGCTAGCAAACCTTTCTAGGTCATTTACCATTTCTACTGACAATTGAACTTTCATACCATCAGGCTCAGCAATTCCTTTGAAACAATTATTTTTAAGAAAGGCACACAGAATTGAAGGGAATATTGTGATATTGGCAGGACATTAGTTGGTATAAAAGGTACATACTCTGACTGGCAGAAGTATCTGCCCAATCCGCAAGAAACTATTGGCAAACTATCAACTGCATTTAAAAAAAGGCATTAGAAGTGGTTACCATGGATTTTTTAAAGATGGCATTGAATTAAAATAATGTGCATGGCCTTGACAATATGCATAGAAATTCTACTGTGATCTCAATGGTGTTTATTAAAATATTAATATTTCCTTAATGATACACATTATAAAAAGATAGCGGCAGGATTAACATGTAACAGAATAATTGCTAGCAAGCAAAATTTACTTAAATTAAAACAAAAACTATTTTAAAAAAACATTACAATTTGGCACACGTAGTTAAATAATAATAATAATCCTTGCATTTGATGCAGCGCTTTTCACACCTGGTTAAAGGCCACCAGAGAACTCATATTCTTTGCTACTAACCTTCAAATGTCCTGGACGTGCATTTTTTAATTTGCTACCATTCAGTAAAAAAAAATTGTCTTTTTCAATTATCCACCTCTCCCCAACTATATTTTTGATACTATAAAAATTTCAATTATAACCAAACTTTATAGAGTAATGTGGAGACAGAATCATAAACAAAATACTTCAATTAGATGGAATTTTGTGTACGCTAATGGACTCATTAAAGACTTTTACCTGAAACTTCACCTTATTATAACTGAGGGTATGATGAATAAGACCATTAAACGTTGGTTAATGTTAGAAGGTAACACATTATAAACTTTCAGTCCTGAGAAAACCAACTTAAACGTATATTTTCCATATCTTTTGGCAAAGTATTTTCATTTCCCCCTCCCTTCTCATTAGGTTTCCCCATATTACACAACATTTTCAGAAAAAAGGCAGCTCTCAGGAGTCTGTCAATACTGCTTCACATTTGGGTGGGGAAGTGCCCAACCTCCAGTGGGCTAACCTGACAGCACTCCTGAAGAAAAACATTTGTGTAGGAAATCAAGGCATTAATTCTGGGACAGACATAAGAATTGTATTGTGCTGTCCACAATAAACAGGATTCAATTTAAATGTATATTAGAGGTAAACATCTTAATTTACTACTGGCTTTCAGCAACACTGTTTAAACAGATTATTTTCCCAATTATAGGAAAATGATAGATTATGAAAACTCATCAAGGCAATAAAAAACATTCTTGTACAACCAGTCAAGTGGTAATTTTATGTATCACACACTTTCTTCTTGGATAGTACTTAGTACAATTAGATTCCAAGTAACAAATCCAGCGAACAAGTCAAAATGACTGACCAGCAGTATCCGACAAACGACATCGACAGAGGATTGACTGAATTCTAATCCACCATTGCCACGTGTGCCATGTTAAAGGCAACTAAGCCACCCCAGAGTGAAGCCATTTATTTTTTTCACAGAGGAGTCACTAATTGGTCATTAGACATAGATCAAAGCTAGGTTTGAATCCTCACTAAGTAGGAAGCTGTCAGTTTGGCTCACCACTCTCGTCTGAGGTGAGGAAGTTGTGGGCTGTCACGGTTACACTATTACAGTCTTTTGCAATGTGTAAATAATATAACCAAAAAAGTATTATTTAAGGGAAATGGGGAGTCCTGCCCATTTAAATGGCTTCTGTAAGATTCCAAGTTGCAGAAGCTGCTTGCAGCAGAGTTAGCAAGGAGCATACAACAACAACAACAACAAGATTCCATTTATAAAGCGCCTTTCAAGTCAGGAGGACGTCCCAAGGCGCTGCACAGTTGGGTCATGACCCGAGCAGGGGGGAAATGGTCAGGGTGAGGGGAGGGAAGGGAGGGAGCGAGGAGGGGGGAAATGGTCAGGGTGAGGGGAGGGAAGGGAGGGAGCGAGGAGGGGGAAGAGAGTCGAGAGGGGAGCTGAAGGCTCGGTCAAAGAGAAAGGTTTTGAGACCGGCCTTGAAGGAGGAAAGGGAGGAAGCAAGGCGAAGGCACTGGGGGATGGAGTTCCAGAGCCTGGGGGCTGAGAGGCTGAAGGCCCGACCACCGATGGTAGGGCGGTTGGGGCGGGGGACGTGGAGCAGACCGGAGCCAGAGGAACGGAGGGTACGGGCAGGTAGGTAGGGGGATAGTAGGTTGGAGAGGTAGGAGGGAGCAAGGCCGTGAATGGCCTTGTAGGTGAGGATGAGGATCTTGAAATCAATCCTCTGGGGGATGGGGAGCCAGTGGAGGCGAGCGAGGGTGGGAGTGATGTGGTCGCGAAGCCTGGTGCGGGACAGTACACGAGCTGCAGAGTTCTGAATGACCTGCAGCTTGTGGAGGGAGGTGCCGGGAAGGCCGGCGAGGAGAGAGTTCCCATAGTCCAGCCTTGAGGTGACAAAGGCGTGAACCAGGGTTTCAGCAGCGTGAGGGGTGAGGTAATGCCGTAGTCTGGCGATGTTCCGGAGGTGATGGAAGGCGGTGCCAGTTGTGGTGCGGATGTGAGGGAGAAAGGACAGCTCAGGGTCGAACAAAACGCCGAGGTTCCTGACTGGCTTTGAGAGGTGGAGAGTGCAGCCTTGGATGCTGATGGTGTCAGCGCCTGAGGTGCGGAGGCGCTGACGTGAGCCAATCAGGAGGGCCTCGGTTTTTCGCACGTTGAGCTGAAGAAAGTTGTCTCTCGTCCAGGACTCGATGTCGGACAGGCAGGCTGTCAGGACATCGGTGGTCGTGGAGTTGAGAGTAGAGGAGGAAAGGTAGAGTTGGGTGTCATCCGCATACATGTGGAAGTTAACTCCATGTCTGCGGATGATGTCACCAAGGGGGAGCATATAGAGGGTGAAGAGGAGGGGACCAAGGACAGAGCCCTGAGGGACACCACATGAGACAGTGCGGGGGGTGGAGGAGAAGCCATTCGTTGAGACAAAGTGAAGACGGTGAGAAAGGTACGACCTAAACCATTCAAGGACAGTGCCTTGAAGGTTGAGGTGGGAGGACAAGCGGTGGAGTAGGATAGCGTGGTCGACCGTATCGAATGCTGCCGATAGGTCGAGGAGGACGAGGAGACAGAGGGAGCCCTGGTCACAGATGGTCAGGATATCATTGGTGACCTTGACCAGGGCAGTTTCTGTGCTATGGGCAGCACGGAAACCTGACTGAAGGGGTTCGAAAAGAGAATGGGTGGAAAGGAAAGAGCGCAGTTGGGAGGCGACAACTCTTTCCAAGACCTTGGAGAGAAAGGGGAGGTTGGAGATGGGCCGGTAGCTTGATAGCTGCGACGCATCAAGGGAGGGTTTTTTCAGGGTGGGCGTGATGATGGCAGTTTTTAATGGAATGGGGACAGAGCCAGAGGAGAGGGACAGGTTGATGATGTCAGTGATATGTGGGGCAAGAAAGTGGAGCTGGGAGATAAGGAGTGGAGTGGGGATGGGGTCAAGGGAGCAGGTGGTTGGTTTTAGGGATTGGATGAGTTCAGTGACAGAGGGTGGGGAAACGGGTACGAAGGTGTGTAGGGGAGGATGGGTAGGAGTCGGAGTGTGGGAGGGAAGGGGTGGGTGGTGGGTGGAAGTTGGAGGGGAAGTGACCGCGGAGCGGATTCCCTTGATCTTGGATTCAAGGAAATCCAGCATCTCCTCGCAGTGAAGGTTGGAGGAGATGACCTGCGCGGGGTGGCGGGGGGGACGGAGGAGTCGGGTTGTGGTGGAAAACAGTAGCCTGGGGTTGTTCTTCGCCTCCAGGATTATCCTGGAGTAGAAGGACGACTTGGCCGAGGCTAGAGTGGAGCGGTAAATTTTGAGGAGGTCCAGCCAGATTTGTCGGTGGACCGTGTTTGTAACAAAGTAATAGATCCAGGGCTGTTTGGTTGATAGTCACTAACAAGCAGCCTGCAGAGTAAAATAACATGTGGGCCCCAGTGTGCGAAAAAACCCTCGCATTTGCATCATACCATGGGCAGAGCCACACGCCTGTATAAAGCAATGCTCAGCGCTCCTCATGGTCGCTAACTAATGGTCGTCATCTGGTACGTACTGACGTATATAGGACTACTGTACAGTCCAAGTTGTTTTTCATATTTCTTTACTAATGTAATATTGTGCTGCCAGTTGTTATAGTTATGTGTGATTGTTATATTTTCTCCCATTGTTGTACATCTTCATTGTTATATTCCTTATATGCAAGGTAGCCTAGGGTAGCTAGTTTTAATAAAGAGCTGTTGTTTCAACCAAACGCATCCTCGAGTTTTTGTAATATTCTAGACCCAGAAAAGGACTAAGCACTTCGGAAGGTGGTTGTCAACATCGGAGGTCTATTAGTGCAAACAGACTCCGATTAGACATTCCAGTTAGGGGGAATTGGGGTGAACTGGGAATACCTGTCTGTGTGTGACTCTAACTTGGTTGAGTTACCTTTGAAATAGGGACATGATTAGAAGAGCAGAGGCCACTTAGTACGAATGCGTGAATAAAATTTGCACATACATCATGGGGTTCAACACCAACTCAAGACTATGACTTGAGTGAAATGCTGGAGTAAGACTGCAAT